CAGAGGCGGAGCAGCCGGGACTCGAACCGGCGCTCACATGGGATGCTGGCATCGCAGGAGCCACAGCACTGACCCCACCTTGCCGGTCCCGATGGGGCCACTTCCAGACAGCACCAGCTTCATGGGCGTTAGCGGAGGGCACCTGTTCCCCTGGGTGCGTGCCGCCGTGCACTGAGGCCTGACAAAGGAGCCCCAGCCTGGGCTGTGGCCCGCTCTCAACCCTGAATCCACACGTCCTGAGAATGAGCCAGGCCCAGGACGGTGTCTTGCAGCCCAGAGCGGCTAAGCACGCTGGCCAGGTCACACAGCCAGCCAAGCTCCCTGGCTTCTCGGGACCGTGGGCGTGGAGCAGGAGGGGAGCAAGCTCCCAGGGTGGGCTCCGGGCACTAACCCCCGCTCCCCGTAGGCAGGCTGTGAATGCCACGGGGCACCTCTCAGACACGCTGTGGCTCATCCCCATCACGTTCCTGACCATCGGCTACGGGGACGTGGTGCCGGGCACCGTGTGGGGCAAGATCGTGTGTCTGTGCACCGGAGTCATGGTGAGTGTAGCCCTGCAGCCGCCGGAGACTCGCAGGGACCCCCAGCCTCACCCCTTGCAGGACCCTGCGCTCAGCCCCTCTTCCTTTCAGCCCTAGGAGTCCTGCCCCTACGCCCTTCCTCTCTCAAACCCAGGACGCGGGCTATTGGCTACTCGGCCCTGCTTTCTTCCAGAAGCCCAGGAATCTAGACCCAGCCCACGGTGGGGGGTGCAGTGATTGTAACTGGTCAGGGGGCTTCCAGCCGCCCCCACCCCAGCCCCTCTCACCTCGAGGATGAGGCGGGGGCTCCTCCGCCCAGACCCAAGCTCCATGCTGGATCCAGACCTCACCACCCGCCCTCCACGGCCCAGGCACCCAGTTCCTCCCACCCAAGCCCCACCCCCAGGCCCAGCACCCAGTGCCTTGGCCTTCACCTCCGCGCTAGGACCCAAGCCATCAGCTGGCACCCCTGATGCTGTCCCCGGAAGGACAGGTTGAACCCTTTGGCTCTGCACCCGCAGGTGATGCATAGGATGGCCTGGAGATGTGGCCCCGCCCCGACAGGCGTGGAAGAGGGGCTGGGAAAACTCCCAAAGGGTCACGGACCCTCGGGGCTGCCCGGGAGCTGCAGAGCCAGAGCCCCCAGCCCAGTCCTGGCCAGCGGGTCCCATGGCCCCCGGGGGCGATGGCGGCTCACTTTCACCTCGCACACACTCTGTGCCGTGCTCTGCTCCTAATGCTTTCCGGCTGTTAACTTACGGGATCCACAGGGTAGCAGTGTGCCCATTTCACAGATGAGAAGCTGAGACGCTGACAGATTCTCATCAGCTTGCTCAGGGCTGGGCTCGGGGCAGTGTTGGGCTGTGTCCATCGCCCTGAGTGATGGGCAGGTGAATCACAGGGAGACACCCTCAGGGGCTTCATCCTGCCTGGAGGAGCCCTGGGAGGAGGAAGGGCACTGGAGCAGGTGCAGTGACGGCGGCCAGGCTAGGTCCAGGATGGTGGGAGGCTGGAGCGAGGGGGGCAGCTCAGAACAAGGGTGGGTCCTGTGGGGTCAAGGGTCAGGGGGAGGGCAGAGCCAGAGCCAGGGTGTGGAGAGTGAGGGGTCCCCGCAGGGGCTGAGATCTGTCCCCCACCCAGAACCAGCCGCCCCTCCCCCCGTCTTACCCATCAGACCCTGACTAGAGGCCGCCCCGTAGGCTTGGGATCTGATGTCTGCGACTTGATCCCGACTGAGCCCTGGGAGCCTGGGCCTCCTCCCCTGGGGCCGTCCGGCGGGGTCGGGGCTGGCACCGAGAGCCCGCTGTGCCCCCACAGGGCGTGTGCTGCACAGCGCTGCTGGTGGCCGTGGTGGCCCGGAAGCTGGAGTTCAACAAGGCCGAGAAGCACGTGCACAACTTCATGATGGACATCCAGTACGCCAAGGAGGTGAGGCCGTCAGCCGGCGGGGGGCGGGAGCAGGCGCCGGCGGGGGCGGGGCTCTGCTGACGCTGCACCTGCCCTCCCAGATGAAGGAGCGGGGGGGGGGGGGGGGGGGGCTCTGCGGACGCTGCACCTGCCCTCCCAGATGAAGGGGGGGGGGGGCTATGCTGACGCTGCACCTGCCCTCCCAGATGAAGGAGCGGGGGGGGGGGGCTCTGCTGACGCTGCACCTGCCCTCCCAGATGAAGGAGCCGGCGGAGGCGGGGCTCTGCTGACGCTGCGGCTGCGCCCGCCCTCCCAGATGAAGGAGCCGGCGGGGGGGGGGGGCTCTGCTGACGCTGCGCCCGCCCTCCCAGATGAAGGAGTCGGCGGCCCGCGTGCTGCAGGAGGCCTGGATGTACTACAAGCACACGCGCAGGAAGGAGTCGGGGGCCACCCGCCGGCACCAGCGCAGGCTGCTGGCCGCCATCCACACGTGAGAGCCGCCCGTGCGTCCCCGTCCCCCCGCCGACCCCCGCGTGGCGCTCGGTATGCCTCGCCTCCCGATGCCCAGATATCGGCCTGCGGTGTTCTGTGCATGGTCTAGGGGCACCTGGGGGTCTCCTAGGGAACTGCCCTCCTCTGCGTCTGCGGTGGTCTCTCCCTGCCCTGCCCCCCCGCCCCCCCCCCTGCTGGGGGCTTACAGGGGAAACCAAGCGACTTCCCCCCACAGGTTCCGCCAGGTGCGGCTAAAACACCGGAAGCTCAGGGAACAGGTGAACTCCATGGTGGACATCTCCAAGGTACCGGGCCCTTGGCCAGAGGTGGGGGAGCAGGGCGGAGCTGGGGTCGCTGGAAATCTGGCCCTGAAACAGGGAGCCAGGCTGGGGCCTGGCACGCGGAGGTACGCGGCAGGTGCCTACGGCTGAAGGCAGGAAGAAGGAGGGAAAGAATGAGGCAATCCAGAGCCTTTTCACGCTTACGCAAGGCACAGGTCCCCTTTAAATTAAAAGAAGAGATTGTACAAAGAAGCCCAGTGTTTGGCTTCGAATTATCTTTATTGTCTGGTTACTTACGTGTGGACGGATATAAAACTCTTTCCAACTGTGACTCTTATACAATAAAACCAAAGCAAATTTACAAACCAAGTTCAAACAGAGAGGGCAAAGCAATAAAACTCAAATCTGTGACCCGGCGCGGAGCAGGGGACACCGTTGCAGTCACTCGGCCTCGGCTGCTGCCTCCGGCTCGGACCAGCTGATGCCCCCGGGTTACGGTCAGCGCCATCAGCCACCGCTCCCGGCTGGCCCGGCGACAGTGCCCTTCCTTCATCCGGCGGCCTTTGCTTTTTCTCATTAGCCCGCGACAATTCAAACAGCGGCCCGTGGTGCCCGTGCCATGGTAAATACGGTCACGGACGCAGGCCCCGGAGCTGCACGGCGGGTCACCTTGGCTCTGTGGAGGTGGTGGCCCAGAGCTGCCCAAGCGGGAAGGTCACCTAGCCGCTGGGGAGAGCCGTCAGAGCGGCTCTGCATCTAGTGAGCACCTGCTGCATGCAGGCCCATCGCTGAGCTGCTCCGTGCCTCAGTTTCCTTAGCCGTCAGGTGGGAACAGGACTGCCACCCCCGGCTGGTAGGATTTTAAACCATCTGGGGAAAGCGCCGGGCCCGGTGGCTGGGACGTGGCAGGTGGTCGGCAGACGCGGACGGCTGTGACAGGGACGACCCCGGGCTGAGCCCGCCTCTGCCCGCGCAGATGCACATGATCCTGAGTGACCTGCAGCTGGGCCTCAGCAGCTCACACCAGGCTCTGGAGAAGAGGATCGACGCGCTGGCCGGGAAGCTGGACGCCCTCGCGGAGCTGCTTGGCGCCGCCCTGGGGCCACAGCAGCGGCCAGCACCCAGCCAGGAGGCCACGTAGCGGGTGAGGGGCTGGGATGGGCCAGGGGACAGCGCGGGGGAAGGGTGTGTGCGCCCGGCGCCCTGGAGACGAGGCTCTGTCTGTCTGGGAGAAAGGCCCGGGTGGGCCGGGCGGTCCAGGCCGGGCTGGCAGGGCCGGAAGTTCCTTCTCCCCTCACCGACCCTCACTGCCCTCTCCCTCTCTGGGCTTGTTCTCTTTCTGTCCATCCTATGCCTCTGTCCAAATGTTTGTCTGCACCTTGGCCTCCTGGTGCCCCCCCCACCTACCCTTGGCTTCTGTCCTCCTCTCCCTCCGCGGCCCCGCCTGCCCGTCCATCCGCCTCTCTGTCTCCCCAGGACCCACGGAGGAAGATCCAGGCTACTTTCCCTAGGACCGGGGTCAGGACGTCCTCCCGCCACTCCTGCCCCGGCACAGAGAGAAAAGCGCGAGACCCCAAGGGCCCCGCCCCAGGGTGGGCTGACTGGGTGATGGCTGCCCCAGTGGACCTGGCTGAAGGGGGCATGCCTGGGCCCACCCGAGGTCCCAGGTGGGAACGTGGCCACCACCACCCAACTTCCCACTGGACAGGACCTCGGCTTCGGTTAGAAGTGGAGCTGCCGGGCAGCTTCAGCCTCGGCTGGGTGGCGGAACCGCAGGAGCTGGGTCTGAGGCCCGGGCGGGGCCGGACGCGGCGCCCCCTGGTGGGACAGCAAGGCGGACACGTTTTCCAAAGCTGCAGGGAGGACCTGGTGGGGAGGAGGGAGAGCAGCTCACCAGTGTCTGCTCTTGGTCTGCAATAAACCCTAAACAAAGCCAGAGGAAGTGACTGCTTCTTTCCACACCTCCAAAGCGCCGAGGCAGCCAGTGGAAGACCCCTGCCCTGTCCGGGACTCAGCGCCCACCTCCCTGCTGCCTGCAACGCGCTCCCGGCTCTGGCTGGGCCGTCCTCAACAACCGCCCGCCTGGTCTGGGGCCAAGAGCGAGGGCCTGGCCATCACAGAGCTCGCGGTCCGAGGCTGGCTCTGCCGTCTCCTTGCTGGGTGACCCTGCGCAAGTGGCTCTCCCTCTCTGAGCGTTCTACCTCTCCATGAACCGCAGTGAAGACGAAGACCAGGAGCAGCAGGGAGGGCCAGGGGCTGAGGAAGAACCGACAAAGAAGCACTCAGCTCGTGACGGCCATTTTCTCTTTTCTTTTGTTTAAAAATTCATTTATTTATTTATTTACTTGAAAGTCAGTTACACAGAGGGGAGAGGCAGAGAGAGAGGGAGAGAGAGAGAGAGAGGTCTTCTACCAGATGGTTCACTCCCCAGTTGGCTGAAACAGCTGGAGCTGTGCCAATCCGAAGCCAGGAGCTTCCTCGGGGTCTCCCATGCAGGTGCAGGGGCCCAGGCACTCGGGCCATCTTCTACTGCTTTCCCAGGCCACAGCAGAGAGCTGGATCGGAAGTGGAGCAGCCGGGTCGGGAACCAGCGCCGACATGGGATGCCGGCGCTGCAGGCCGGGGCGTTAACCCGCTGGGCCACAGCGCGGGCCCCTATGACGGCTGTTTTCACATGCAGTGTGTGGCTGCCCTGTTTCTTTCTGCGCTGCCCCCTGCCCCTGAGCCCCCGACTGGAGCCTCACTGGAGCACAACTCGCCCGTCCAGGGAGGACGGGGCCCCACCCCTCCCACACTCGCAGGGGTTCGAGAAGTTCCTGGAAACGCGCATGATGAAAAAGCGACGGGGGCCTCAGACTCTTTCACGCCAAGGGAAGCTTCCTTTTCAGTTAAGACTTTTCGGGGGACTTCCTAAGTCCCCCTCCCACCTCTGGTCACGAGCCATCTGGGAGGGACAGGGAAGGGGCCGGCACTCAGAGGCCCCAGTGCGCAGACACAGACACTGAGCCCCGGCCCTGGCCGGCCCTGCCCGAGCTGAGTCAGGGCTGAGTGGCCGGGGCCGACCCCCGCAGCGCCGGCCCTCTGATTCATCCTGCCATCCCTGCTCCCGGGGGAAGCCCGACTGCGACTCATCCGGTGCTGAGCTATCTTTGGATTTCCCTAAAAGCCCACGGTCGGCCGGCCCCTCAGCCTTGGCAGCTACGCTGGGGCCTCTGGACGCCGGCCCTCCTAGCGAGCAGCGGCGGGGGCCAAGAAAGGAACGAGACCCCGAAAGTCACTGCCAGCGCCCTCCCAGCAGAGCCACCAGAGCCCTGCCTCCCTCATTCCCCTGGGACCACTCTTTCCCGCCAACTCCCCTCCCGCTGGCAAGGGGCGTTCCGACGGCCTCGGCCTACATGTCCACTCCACCAGGAAGCCCTCTGAAGCAAACGACAGCCAGGACAACACGTGAGAGCAGCCGCCGTGCTAAGCCCTTTGTGTGAATGAGCTCACAAAGGGAGCAAAAGTGGGCCCTGTTGGTCCGATTCCACAGATGAGGAAACTGAGTCACGGAAAAGAAACTTGCCCAAAGCCACAGCAGAGGTGGGGAGGCAGCGACCCCAGGCCCCGGCCCACCCAGATGCCGGAGCCTCACCGCCGCTCAGCTTGGCTCACTGTCGCGTCTTCACGCCCGGGACCCCCGGGGCGGCCTGAGGCCCTCACCCTCCCAGACACCAACCTCCTACGCCGGTGCCAGGCAAGACAAGGTCAGGACAGAGCTTCCGTGTCCTGTCTCATCGTGGGTCTGCCCTGTCCCGTGTGCCTCGTTCTCCCCAGCAGGGCTCAGGTCCCGACACCCCCTCACTGGACCAACACTTCCTGAGCCCTCAGCCGGAGCGGGGCTGCAGGTGTGCGTCACAGGGCTCCTCCCCCAGGGGTCAGCGCATGGCCATCTCCGGCTACTTCCCTCTCCTGCCTCCGTCCTGCCTCCAGCCCATACGGGAACTGGGCGAGCGCTGGCCCGGGTCCGGGGGCCAGCAGCTGGCCCAGCCGCTTCCTCGTGCTCCCCCACGCTGCCCCAGGCCCTTCCTGACACCCATGCCAGCTGGGCCTTCCACGGCTCCTGCCGGCCTCCCACCAAGGCCCAGCTCTTTCTTGCTTACCAAGTAGCACACACATTTTAAATGGGAGCTCAAAACATTTTTTTAAACAATCTTGAGGAAAACAAAGCTGTATGATCAGTTTCTGATTTGTTTCTTTTTTTAAAAAAGATTTATTTATTTATCTGAAAGGCAGAATAGAGAGAGAGAGAGAGAGAGAGAGAGAGAGAGAGGTCTTCCATACTGGTTCATCCCTCAGTTGGCCGCAATGGCTGGAGCTGGGCCAATCCAAAGCCAGGAGCCAGGAGCCTCTTTTGGGTCTCCCACGTGGGTGCAGGGGCCCAAGGACTTGGGCCATCTTCCACTGCTTTCCCAGGCCACAGCAGAGAGCTGGATCGGAAGTGGAGCAGCCGGGACTTGAACCAGTGCCCATATGGGATGCTGGCGCCACAGGCAGAGGCTTAGCCCACCATGCCACAGCGCCGGCCCCTCAAAGAACTTTTACAAACGTCCCCAGTTCCCTGGGCTCCGGGCCGTGCTCCCACTCAGTCCCTCCCCAGGACACCCTCCTTCCTCTGACCCCTCCCCAGCGAGGCCCGACTGCTCTCTCAGGAGCTGGGCTGGGTGCACTCGGGCAGACCTGTACAGTTCAGAAAATGACACAACAGCTGTGCTTTGCTTAAAGCAAGCAGGCAACAGTGTGCTCACACCTGGAGGGAGACAACAGGCGCCGCCTGTGGGCACGGCGACAGCGGTGCCTTTGTGCACACTTTTTGAATTCTGCAAGGGAGAGTCAGAAAGAATTCTCTATCTCCGAGCCCATCTTACCCCCAACTCCAACAGCTTCAGAGCTCGTCCTCAATGTCCAACTGTGTATCTCGAAGTAAAGATGTCAAAGCTTGTCAATTTCCCGCCACGCCCACTCCTCAGGGCCGCCACGGCCACGTGGCACCGCAAGCTTCGAGTCCCAGCTGCTCCACTGCCCACCCAGCTCTCAAGACCACAGCTCAAGCGCTTGTGTCCTCGCCACCCAGGCTCTCGGCTTCAGCCAGGCCCAGCTCTGGCTGTTGCGGTCACAAGGTAGTGTCACCAGCAACCTGAGGGCCAGGACGCCCCGCTGGTGTCCCCGGCACAGCTGACGGGTGCCTGTGGGTGGGGAAAGCCCGCGCCCCGAGCCGTCAGAGCACAGCGAGGGGCCGGAGGCAGCAACTGAAACCGTCTGTTTCCCCCACAGGCCCCCCCCACCTGTCTCTCACCTGCCTGCGGCTCACTTCCTTCCTGTCTTGCAGGCCTCTGCGCAGATGTGCCCTCATCGCCTCCCCTGCCCGCCTGTCACCCTCTGTGACCTCTGTCTCTCCCAATGCCTTCACCCTGATGTTTTTCTTATTTTCCTTATTTGAAAGGCAGAGACAGTGAGGGCAGAGAGCCCCGATCCTCTGATTCCCAATGCCTGTGACGGCCGCGGCTGGGCCAGGCCGAAGCCCTGAGCTGGGAGCCCAATCCGGATCTCCCACACGAGGGCCGTGCCTACCTGAGCCATCGCCTGCCGCTGCCCAGGAGCCGGAAGCTGGGTTGTACGGCAGAGCCGGGGTTCAAACCCAGGTTCTCTGATGTGGAATGCTGCTGCCTCAAGTACCCACGCCTACTTGCTATTTTATTTTTTTTACAAGTTTTTCCTACGTGGGGCCAGTGTTGTGGCGCAGCAGGTGAAGCCGCTGCCCGTGATGCCGGCATGCCATCTGGGCACCAGCTTGTGTCCCTGCTGCGTCACTTCTGGTCCAGCTCCCTGCTGACGGCCTGGGAAAAGCCGTACAGGATGGCCCAAGTGTTTGGGCACGGCTACCCACACGGGAGACCGGATGAAGCTCCTGGCTCCTGACTTCAGTTTGGCCCAGCCCTGACTTACAGCCACCTGAGGAGTGAACCAGCAGATGGGAGATCTCTCTGTCTCTCTCTTTCTCTGTAACTCTGACTTCCAAATAAATAAACACATCTTTAAAAAAGAAGGAATTTGAATTATTTGTTTATTTATTTGAAAGGCAGAATGACACAGTGAGATACATGGAGAATACAAAGAGATCTTCCACCCACTGGTTCACTCTCCAAATGGCTCCAAGAGCCAGGTCTGGGCCAGGCCAAAGCTAGGAGCCAAGAGCCCATCCTGCTCTCCCATGTGGGCGGAAGGGGCCCAAGTGCGCAGGCCGTCCTCCACTGCTTTCCCCGGCGCGTTAGCAGTGAGCTGACTCTGAAGCGGAGTAGCGGGGTGCCGGGGTCACAGGCTGCAGCTTAACCCACGAGTCCCGCCTCCAGCTCCCAACACGACCTTGTGATCCCTGCACACATGGCAGAATGGCTGGGTGGAGCCAATTAACACGCATCGTCTCCCGTACTGGCTTTTTCGGGATGGGTGCACTTCAAATCTATTCTCGCAACTTCCAAGTACAGGACAGGGAGGGACGTCGGCACCTTATCCCCCCCCCCCGCCCCCCGCCCCCCACTCTGGTTTTCTGTCTTCGATCCACATCTCCCCATCCTGTCCCCAGCTCCACACACTCGCTCGGGTATCCTTTATCCTTCTGATCTCTGGTCTGGTGTCCCCTGGCCCACGGACGCCTGCCGCTGTCCTGCCCGGGCGGCGTCTCCAGCTGACAGCCCCTCCCGGCAGATGGCTGCAGCCGTCACTCACTCGACAGGGGAATGAGTGAAATAAAGGGGAATCAGGATCTTCGGATGCCCAGGCCAGCACACACCCTGACTCGGCAGCTGCACCTGAGGCCTGACACAGACACGCAGAGGCCACACAACCTCCGGAACAGGCACTCCTAGGGACGCCGATCCAGACCCGGGGTGCTCGCTCTACACAGCAGTGTGCCCTGGGCTAACGGACAAGGCAGCTCCCTGTACCCCAGCGCTGACTCACCGCCACGCAGCCTGCCTGGGGCGGGGCGCCGTGGGCTCCTCCTGCAGGGACACAGGCGTGGGTTGAACCCAGGCCCTGCGGCTTCCCAGCTACCGGCCCTTCAGTCTTTCAGTCTCATTTTCCTGCATCGGGTGGGGGTGGGGGTGGGGGCAGGGGCACAGTGAGCCCCAGGTCAAGGTCAGCCCTATTCTCCCCCAACCCCCTTAAAGTCATTTCTGCCAGGGCGGGGTGGGGGATGGAGTTGCCCAGATGTGAAACTGTCAACCCAGGTGGCGAAATTCAACTAAGAAAAACACAGGCCTGGCGCAGCTGTGGTGTCCGTTAAACACCTACAACCTGTCGGTCGGGGGGCCAGGAAACACTCAGCCTAGAAGCTGTCTCTGTGCATCCCTTTGGCTGCCTGCATTTTTGCTGATATGTACATGTCACCACTTTAAATAAATAAGATTTCATGTAAGAGGCCGGCGCTGTGGTGTAGTGGGTTAATGCCCTGGCCTGAAGCACCAGCATCCCATATGGGTGCCGGTTCAAGACCCGGCTGCTCCTCTTCTGATCCAGCTCTCTGCTATGGCCTGGGAAAGCAGTAGAAGATGGCCCAAGTCCTTGGGCCCCTGTACCTGCATGGGAGACCCTAAGGAAGCTCCTGGCTCCTGGCTTCAGATCGACAAAGCTCTGGCCGTTGCAACCAATTGGGGAGTGAACCAGCGGATGGAAGACCTCTCTCTCTCTCTCTCTTTCTCTGCCTCTCCTCTTTCTGTGTAACTCTTTCAAAATAAATAAATAAATCTTAAAAAAAAAAAACAGATTTCACATTAAAACGGGCATTTCCCACTCACTCCTAGCATGCCTCCTTCCCACTTGGCCACCACGGGCCCACCAGCGTGGGCTCCCCTGGGGCCACAAACCCCCGCCCGCATCTCTGCAGACAAGCCCCCCCCTCCTCGGGGCGCTCCCGATCAAGCCCGCCCTGGGTGGCCCTTCAAGACCGCACCTGCCCACCCCTGCGAGCCCATCTCCAGGTCCTGAGGGTGCTGGTGACCCCGAGTCTCAGCCAGCCTGCACTTGCTCGGCCCACCCAGGCCCCTCCCTAAGCGATCCGATCCCGTAGCCACAGACCAGACTCTCACAGGTCTGATTCATTCCTGTGGCCTCGGCGCTCACTCGGCCCAGGATACTGAAATGCCTCCCCGCTGCCCCACCCCACCACAACCCGCTCCCATCACTGAGGAGGCGGGACTCGAACCGGCAGCCTTCAGAGCCACCCACCCATAGACTGGCGCGCACGGACGCGCACGCGCACTGAGACCCGCGGCGCCCTCCCACCGCCGCTCCGTGATCCGCATGCGCGCTGAGGCCAAGCTCCTCCCTCAACGCATGCTCAGCCCGGCGCGCTTGTGGCGCACTCGCGCGCGCGCCTGTGTGCAGCCACTGCGCACGCGCAGTGTCGGCCGCCCGCGGGACCGGGGTTCAGCCTTGCCTCGCGATACCTCCTTCTCTTCCTCCTTCGGGCCAGCCTTCCCCAGGGGCCGCTTCCGGGACACAAAGGCCGGCTTCAGAGTGGCCGGCGTCTTACTTTCTCGTCCTCTTCCTCTCTCCCACACTCCGGGCCCCCAGACGCCATTTACAGGCGAGTGCTGTGCGGTGGAACTTCCCCGCCCCCACCCCACTCTGTTCACGGGAGAGCGCGCGCCGCGCCGCGGGAGCCAATCAGCAGCTGCGTTAGGTAAGGGGCCCGCGAGCCTGCGCGAGGTGCGCGCGCCGGTGCTGGGCGGAGCCTGCGGCGCGCCCCGCCCCCTTGGCTGCAGTTAAATAGCTCCGCGGTCGGGGCGGAGGGGTGGGGAGCCGGGTCCCGAGGCGAGGGGCGGGCGTGGCTGCGGGCCCGGAAGTACCGATAGAAATCGGTTCGGGTCGAGCCCGTGAGCTCCCCGTGATGACCTAGGGGCGTCCCCTGCGGCGATGTGTGAAAAAGTTCCCTCGTGGCAGTGGCCGCGTTCCAGCCCGCGGATACCAGGGGATGTGTCAATCAAAGCCCAAGTTGTGGGGTCCCCTCCGCAGCATCGTGAACCCGACCCTCGTGACCGTGGGGGTGGGAGGCTCCACGCAGGACCCCAACGTGTGAATGGACTGAGTTGGGGGGCATTGGGCCTCCCACAGATACTTAAGATTCGTTTATTTGAGGGGCCGGCGCTGTGGCGGAGTAGGCTAAGCCCTCGCCTGCGGCACCGGCATCCCTTAGGGGCGCCAGTTCGAGTCCCGGCTGCTCCTCTTCCGATCCAGCTCCCTGCTAATGCACCTGGGAAAGCAGTGGAGGCTGGCCCAAGTGCTTGGGCCCCTGCACCCACAGGGGAGACCCGGAAGAAGCTCCTGGCTCCTGGCTTCGGATCGACCCAGCTCCGGCCGTTGCAACCATTTGGCGACTGAACCAGCAGTTGGAAGATCTCTGTCTCTCCCTAACTCTGCCTTTCAAATAAATAAATTTTTGAAAATAATTTGAAAAGCAGTTATACAGGAAGAGGGAGGAACAGCGGTCTTGCTTGCACTGGGTCACTCCCCCGGAGGAGCCTGGAGCTGCATCCGGGTCTCCCACGTGGGCGCAGGGCCCTCGGGCTGTCTTCCCTCCCAGGTGCGCCAGCTGGCACTCAGGTGGGATGCAGCCCATAAATGATTTGCCAGTGGGTGCGTAGGGGCTGGGAGCTCGCCCAAGGGGCTGTGAGGCGCTGGGTTCTGTGGCCGCCCCACCCCCACCCCCGAGTGTGTGCATTGGGCTGGTTTCCAGGGAGGTTGGTCAAGACACTGCAGTAACCTGGCCTGAGAATGTTGGAGGACCCCCAGGGGGCGACAGCAATGGGAGGGGGTCCCTGACCGCATGTGTGGGGCTCTTCAATTCTGGGGCGCTCCGCAAGGCACTGTTAAGTGGGCACACAGTGGACACTGGGTTTCCTGGGAAGGGGGCCCTCCTTGCTATGTGAGGAAAGACTTGGGTGCCGGGGCCGAATCCCCGCCGAGACACAGGAGCATGGGGGGGGGGTGCAGAGTAATGGGCAGGCAGCAGTTGAGTTGCGGGGGAGGGGGCCCCAGGCTCTGGGCGGCTCCGTGGGGGCCTGTAAACAGTCATTTAGCGCTAAAGGAGGCCTTCGCCTGGCTGGCGGAGACGGGCCCTGCCTCCTGTCTGCATGGGCTGGCCGCACGGTCAGGGAGCAGCCAGCGGGATTGGCCAGGCCCTGGCCGGCTAGCAGAGTGACCCCGCGTCCTGTAAACAGTTCTGGGGAGTGTCTCTCCCAGGGGCCTGTTTATGTCTCGGTGCCCTGGGCTGGGGGCGTGGAGCAGGCACTTAGAGCCCAGCAGGGTTGGAGGCTGATTAGGGGAAGTCGCTTCCGGCTGGACGGGCCGTGCCCCCACCTCCACTCCTCACCTCTGCCCGGCCGGCAGCTGTGGACAGCGCTGGAGTGCAAGACAGGGGCGGTGGCTGGGCCCAGAAGACTCGGTCGTCACCAAAGCGCAAGGCGGCCCTGCGCTAGTGCGGGTGTCCCCGCAGAGTCCAGCCACCAGGGGGGCGCTCCAAGGCCCCCTAGAACGTGGACGCGTCTCGGGGTACTCGCCCCAGAGACCCGGAGCGGAGTGTCCGTGGTGGGGGCGGGGTGGTGCGCTTGGCGCTAGATTGAGCAGTGCGGAGGCCTGAGGTGAGCAGGCTGCAGGGGGGTGGCCCGGGGCGGGGGAATGGAACCCCTCAGTGCTGCCGCAGCCCGCCGCGCCCTCCTGGCCGCTGTCCCGCTCAGGATCCTGCGCTGATTCCTAAGTCTGGGGAGATGATTCTGTTTCTGTGTGGATCTGCCCCTAAGACTTGTATTGATGTGGGAGCGTCTCAGTATTTGGGAGTAGTTTTGATTTCAGGAGCAGTGAGTTCCTCACTGCCTGCAGAGGTGGGCATTCAAGCCTAACATGAGGCCTCCCCTCGGCCCCCGAAAATGCCTTCCAATAGGTTGCCTCACAGCCCAAGATAATTGCTTCAGCTCCAAACTCCGCACCCACATTCCATCCAGCCAGGAGGAGGAAGGGGCGAGAGGCGTGTGGTAGGATCTGTGACTGGGGTGTTGGCAGAGCTGATAAACCGCACTTAGGGTGTCCTGCCTCAGACTTGGAAGTGCTTGGTGAAACTTACGGGCCACTGGCTACAGTGGATCGCTGCCCAGGTTAAGTGCGCGCTGGTGAGCCCGGAGCTCCCTGAGAACTGAGGGGTTTGCCCTTGGGGGAGAAGCGAAGCCTGGATCGTGGGGGCCGCAGAGCTGTCTGGAGGGAGCCGCCTCCTGTGGCGCGGGGCGGGCGGCAGGAGCCTCTGGGCCCCAGCTCCTCTCCCTTCCCCCGCAGGCCGCCATGTCTGAGTCCGGCCACAGTCAGCCCGGGCTCTACGGCATAGAGCGCCGGCGCCGGTGGAAGGAGCCGGGCCCCGGCGGCCCCCAGAGCCTCTCTGGGCCTGGAGGCCGGGAGCGGGAGTACGTCGCCCCGTGGGAGCGCGAGAGGCGGGTGAGTGGGGTGCTGACCCCGGCGGGAGTGGGTAGGAAGGAGGCAGGGTGGTGGGAAGGGGGGCCAAGGAGGTGACTGGGGCCTGGGAGGCCGCAGAAGGAGCGCCGTGCTGGGGTCTCTGTGAACTCGGCCCGCGAGGGTCTGGGTGTGTGATCAGAGCAGCCGCAGAGCGCGGCCCCGTGGTGGGCCCCGTCTCACCGAGGAGGGCTCGCACCCGGGGCAGGGCCTGCCCAGTCTCGGGCTCTGCCACACCACCCGCCCCAGGGAGGACCTGGGCGGGAGTCAGGAGGCCTCGCGTCGCCCGGTGGCCTGCTCTGCCGCAGCCTGTCTGGAGGTGGGCAGCCGTGAAGAGTGCAGGCTCCCGCGTCAGGGCCACCATGTACCACGCACACTTCCTGCAGGAGAAGGTGCCCGCCCGCTACGCCTTGGCTTGTTTTTTTTTTTTTTTTTTTTAATTTATTTGAAAGGCAGAGTTGGGGGGAGAGAGAGAGGTCTTCCATCCACTGGTTCACTCCCCAAATGGCCACAATGGCCAGAGCTGAGCCTATCCGAAGCCAGGAGCTTCTTCTGGGTTTCCCACGCGGGTGCAGGGGCCCAAGGACTTGGCCCATCTTCCACTGCTGTCCCGGGCCACAGCAGAGAGCTGGGTCGGAAGTGGGGCAGCGGGGACTTGAGCCAGCGCCCATGTGGGATGCGGGCGCTGCAGGGGCGGCTTCACCCGCTGCCCCCCCCTCCCGCCTTAGTCCCTGAACAAGCAGCACCGAAGGTCATCTTTGTCGCGGACTCTGCTGCCCAGCCCGGCCTTCCGCCTGGCTCATGAACTCTCGTCCTCCATGGCCCAGCCTCCTGCCCCGCTTCTCCTCCATGTCCGTCCCCGGGCCAGTGGCAGCCCCTGGGCCTCCTGCTGGGCGCCCGCGCTGGGCCTCCCAGCCCCCGAAGCAGATCTGTCCATCCTCTCCCGCACCCGACAGCCTCCCTCGCGGGCGTCATCCGTGCTACCACACCACTGCTCCGTGGCCCGCCCCGGAAGCTTTTCTTGTTTGCAAAGCCACGCTCACTCACGCCGCTCTGCCGTTGGGTTTCACCGTAAGCCAGCGCCCTAAGCAGGGTTTAAACGAGCATCCTCCGGGTGGGGTGAAGCAGCCACCCAGCGAGGGCTCTGGGCTCCCCTGCGGTGCCTCAGCCGAGCAGAGGAGGCGCAGGGCCCAAACGCGGGTCTCCTCGCCCTGTGTGGGTGAGTCAGGAGAGGCACGGGAGAATGTGGCGTGGGCATCGGTCCCCGGCGTGGCCGGAGCAGGGGCGAGGCGCCGGGCGGGGTGAGGATGGCAGGTGCGCCTGTCACATGCGAAGCCAGGCCGGGCGGTCCGTGACTCTGTCCACCTCGTGGTAGTCCTGTGAGGAAGGAGTTCCTGCCCCCACTTGGCGGGTGAGAAGACTGAGGGACAAGGGAGGGTCAGCCTTGTCTGGGCTCTCACAGCCAGCAGCATCGGCCCGGGAAGGTCCGACTCGCGCCCGGCTCCTGTCCAGCTGGACGTGTTGCCTGCGGAGGCAGCTGGTCGGAGGGTGCACTCTGTGCTGGGACCTGGCTGCCCTGGTCGGCTCACCGCCCTTGTCCTGGCTGTGTGACCGTGGGCAAGCCCAGTTATCTAAGCTGCAGAGCGGGGTACGGCGCCTGTCTCACAGGGCTGCTGGGGGATAGAGGAGTTCCCGCAGCGAAGCACTCGGAGCGAGTGCCCGGCACGAAGGCCCTCGGCGCCGACCCCCGAGCCACTGCCCTCCCTCCCCACAGGACGGCAGCGAGGAGCCGAGCGGCTCGGTCATGCAGAAGACGCCCATCATCCTGTCCAAACCGCCCGCGGAGCGGGTGAGGGGGCAGAGCCCGGGAGGGGGGGGAGCGCCTGGGGAGGGCTGGGCTGCACTGACCGGCCCCCCCACCCCCGCAGTCCAAGCAGCCGCCGCCCCCGGCCGCTCCCGCCGCGCCGCCTGCACCCGCGCCTCTGGAGAAGCCCATCGTCCTCATGAAGCCGCGCGAGGAGGGGAAGGGGCCGGCGGCCGGGGCCGGGGCCTCCACCCCTGAGGGGGCCGCGCCGCCACCCCCGGCGGCCCCCGCGCCTCCCAAGGGGGAGAAGGAGGGCCAGAGGCCCACACAGCCCGTGTACCAGATCCAGAACCGGGGCATGGGCCCCGCCGCCCCGGCAGCCATGGACCGTGAGTGGGGGCGGGGCGGGCGGGCGGGCAGGCAGGGGGCGGCGCCCCTCCTGCAGACCCTCACCACGCCCTCTGCCGCTTCTCTCCAGCCGTGGTGGGCCAGGCCAAGCTGCTGCCCCCGGAGCGCATGAAGCACAGCATCAAGCTGGTGGATGACCAGATGAACTGGTGCGACAGCGCCATCGAGGTACCGCGGCCCCCGGCGCCCCCCCCAGCCGCAGCGGTGACCGCGGTGCGGGCGGCCAGCTCTCGCCGGGCCAGGGCCGCGGCTGGGTGCTCTGCTCGTGTGGTAGAGAGGTGTCCCCTGCCCCCTTCTGCAGCCGGGGGCTTCTGCTCCCGCGTCCTCCCTGAGCAGCCGGAAGCCGTGCCGACCCCGTGGCCCCTGTCAGCACGTCCCTCTGGCTCCCTCCCCCGTGCCCTCGGCCGACCCCAGGTCCCCCGGCCGGCCTCCCTGCCCGCAGCTCCCAGGACCCACGCCCTCCCACGCTGCTTTGCCCTCTGCAGGCCGTGCTGGCTCGCACTGCACATCTCCCGGAATGTCCTTGTCCCGCCCCAGCACCTGGGCTCACTGTGACAGGCACACCTGGAACCGGGCCCTTCTGCCTCTCGGCCACCTTGATGCTGGAGGTCACTGGGGAGCCCGTGTCCAGGCCGTCCCCTGCTGCGCGACCAGGCAGAACTTGGCGCGGCAGCGCCCTGTCCCCACAGCGGCCGTTCAGCACTTGACCCGCGGTTGGTTGACTAAAGAACGGAATTGTTGGTGCCGCGTAGTTGTCGCCGGTCACCTGTGCCCGGTGCCTGCTGGAGGCCGCAGGGCAGCCCAGGGGGTGCCAGCTCACTGAGTTGTGCTTGGGCCCGGTGAACTCTGCTGGGGTCGCTGGGAGCCCCAGCCCCAGTGCAGGCCAGAGCTGCTATCCTTGAGGACGGTCTCTTGCGCCCCCTGGTGGTCAAACAGCAGAGGCAGCAGCCCAGAGGTGAAGGTCACTGGAGGGCCCGGGAGGCTCTTAGATGCCGCCCACGAGGCCTGGATGCCTGCTGTCCCTTCCCAGTGCCACTCCTTCCTCTGTCCTGGGCTTCCTCAGGCCAGCTGGAGCCGGAGAGTCAGCTGCAGCGGCGCCCGGGGTCCTGTCCTCGCCAGCTGCCCTGCTCTCGGCCCCTCACCCCTTCCCAGGGTTTGCTGCCCCCCGCCTCCCCTGCAGCTTCTACACCACGCCAGGCTTTGGCTGCTCAGCTCTCGCAGCTGCTGTCCTTGTGCCCAGAGCACCCCCCATAGCCCCACCGCGGCAGAGGCCAGCACAGGCCCCTCGCCCAGGAGAGGGTTTGGAGGCCGCGCCTGCTCTCCTCACAGCCGAGGAGGGGTGGGCAAGAGGGCTGAGGCGGGCTTGTGAGGGTCTGGTTCCTGCGTCTTCCCACAGTACCTGTTGGATCAGACCGACGTGTTGGTGGTTGGTGTCTTGGGCCTCCAGGGCACAGGCAAGTCCATGGTCATGTCGTTGCTGTCGGCCAACACTCCAGAGGAGGACCAGAGGTGAGGAGACCTCAGGTAGGGGTGAAGGATGCCGGGAAGGAGGGGGCACCTCCCTGGGGCAGGGGCGGGGGCAGGGGGGGCTCGGGTGTCGCAGGTGGTGTTGCTGCAGGGCTCTGGGAAGCCGCGTCCCCTCGCCAGGCCTCACTCCCTCGTCCGAGGTGGTCACGGGCGCCAGGGCTGTCAGCCCCCGCCTTGCGAGGGGAGTGGATGACGGTCACAAAGGCTTGGTGAGCCCTGCTGCTTAGCTGCTGGGTGGCCCTGGGCTCGTCACGTCGCCTCCCGGTGTGCCTAGTGGGTTTCTGGAAGCTGAATGAGATCAGGAACGCAGAAGTTAACCTGCCCCTGGCAGAGAGTAAGTAGGGGTCTGGATGCAGGAAGTGGGTTCCGCACCAGCCTCCGTCCTGCTGTGCTCCCCTGGGAGAGTGGCTCTACCTCTCTGGGCCAGGGAGAGCCACTCGGGTGGAAGAGTCCTTGACCAGACATTCTTGAGCAACAGTGACGCGTGTGCTAAAGGTCAAGGGTGAGGTCCCAGGCGGGAGCAGGTTGCCGGCAGGTGGGAGCTTAAGAAATGGAGCTGGGACCAGGAGCGGAGAAGGCGGGGTTAGGGGCCGGGCAGCTTCACCACGTCACTGGAGAAGAAAGCAGTGGGGGAGAGAAGGGAGCGGAGCTGGCTGGGACGTGAGGAGCAGCCTCGTTCAGGTCACCTTTAAAAGCAGGCTCTGGGTCTTACGAAGCAGCTGACCACAGCCTGGACTCCATGAGTGGGCAGCAGGGTTTTTTTTCCCCTTCCAGTCTTTCTAAAAGTTGTTTATTTGAGAGACAGAGAGCTCCCATCCGTTGGTCCACTCCCCCACATACCTGCACCAGCCCGGCTTGGGCCAGGCCAGAGCTGGGGGCCGGGAATTCCACCGGGTCTCCCACGGCCGTCCCTGCTGCCTGCCGAGGGTGCACGCCAGCAGGAGCCGGAGTGGGGGCAGAGCCAGGAAGCCCTGGGCATGCGTGCCTCCTCACTGGGGTCTCCCCCGCTGAGCCAGCATCTGCCCCATGCAGAGTCTCATACAGACCCGCAGTCGGGCTGTGCGCCAGGGAGAGGGGCCGTGGTAGCCCCCAGATGCCGGGGGACGGCTGGAGACCCCGGGAAGCTTACCCGTCACTGTTGGGGAGCCTTTGCCTCCCCTGGAGCCAGGCTGGACCATCCCTCTGCCTCTCTCCGTGCCTCCCAGCGCCTCTGTGGTCACTTGGGACTTTGGCCCAGTGTGGCTCCTCTTTGGGACAGCACTCCTTCTGCCTCACCCCACGACCAGCAGAACCTCCCCGGGCCTCTCGGTTCCGATGCCCGAGCTCACGAGAACCCTGTCGTCACACTGTGTCCTTGTGAGTCGTGTCTGCCGTGGGGTGGTGGGCTTTGGCACCAGCTGTTGTCGTGAAATCCCACCGATTTTCCCTGGGAACTCCCCTCCTTCATTCCTCCAGGGCGGCCCTTCCCAGCCGTCACAGAGGCCACGGGAGGCGAGTCCCGTGCGGAAGCTCCCAGAGCCGAGGCCGCACCCCCCAGTCCATGCTGCTCTCCGCAGACAGGCGGTCTCCGCAGAGCGGGTGTCCCGTGGGAGGACGCCTGCTCCGAGTTAGCCAGTGTCTGGGAGGCAGCAGTCGTCACCCTGAGTTTACTAGTTGGGGCGGAGAAAGTCACTTTAAGTCACGGTGTCGCTGGGTTGCACTCTATGGGCTGAGGGCGAGGTTCCCTCGACCTGTTTGCTCTCAGACCCCTGCACCTGGCACAAGTAGGAACGAGGGCGACCTCCTGGCCATGGGGAACTGGGGACCAGGACCGAGAGGGCCCCTCGCCGGTGGTGGAGGCATCCATAGCTGTGTGCCCGCACCCGGCGTGTGGCAGGTGCACTTGGTAAGTCGTAGCTGAGTTAACAGCGGCTGCGCGTCGGGCCCTGCTCTGCAGCATTGCCTGTGCTAGCCTCACGCTCATCTCACCGTTTCGGTGCTGTTGTCATCCTCATTCAACAGATGAGGAGGAGGAAAGTTGAGGAACTTGCCCAGGGCCACGCAGCGGGAAGAGGCCGAGCTGGTCCTTGGGTCTCTGCCGCTAAGCACGTGGGCTCCTGGCTTCATGAATGGAACGGCGGCAGGAGTGCCGTGTGCACAAAGCGTGGCCTCAAGGGCGTGGGCCGAGACGGAGGCTCCGCGGGCTCCAGAGGCGTGCCCCACTGTGAACCAGACCTTCACACAGCCCTGCCCCTCCCCTCCAGGGCGTACGTGTTCCGGGCCCAGAGCGCCGAGATGAAGGAGCGCGGGGGCAACCAGACGAGCGGCATCGACTTCTTCATCACCCAGGAGCGGATTGTGTTCCTGGACACACAGGTGCCCACCCCGCCCGCGTTCCCAGTGTCTGCCGCCGAGCGCAGCGTGGGGGCCACGCACTTGCGGCCACGCCTGGGCCCTGGGCCGCCTGTTGAGCGCTGCGCTCCTGCTGTGCCCTTGCCCGCAGCCTGGCGGGGTTTAGAAGCCTGGCCCTGGCGTCTGCCTGTGCCATTCTCACCCCCTGCCTGGCTTTAAGCTCTGACTCCGCCGACCTCGGCACCCTGTAGGTGAGTGAGGTGGGAGCGTTCCGTGGCGCGTCAGGCAGGGCGTGTGGCCAAGCTGGGTGCCGTCGCCGCTGGCTCGTCCCCAGGCACAGTCCAGCTTCCCGGCCTGCCCTTCGGAGGGGCCGGTCCTGTGCCTGCCCGGCATTGCGTGAAGGGGCCGGGGTGCGGGGCGAGCCGCTGTGAGACCCGTTCCGAAGCGCCTGGCGCTCAGGGCGGGCAGAGGGCTGTGCTCCGGGTGACAGCTCTTGCACTGTGCACTTCGGTGCTCCTCAAGGATGAAGCTGGGGAGCTGCCCACGGGTCTTGCACGCTCACGAGGTGATGTGTGCGCCCTCGCCGGCTGTCACAGCACTCCTTGTTTTTTGACCTAAGTAATTATCTTAGTCAGGGTTTGAAGGCAAACGAAACAGCCGACAACAGGAAGCACCCCCAAGGGGGTGACTCATTCACGTAAATGTTGCCTTGATCAGCGCCAGGTTTCTTCTCTCTGGGCACGGGCACTGGAGAGCAGGTGATTCATAACAGTGGGGGAAGGAGGGGCTCTGGAATGTTCCTCGTCAGCCCCCCCCCCCGCACGCACGCCTCGTTCTAGCACCTGCTAATTAGAAATCGTTGTTTGCATTTAAGGTTGATTTTTTTATTTGAAAGGGAGGGAGAGACGGAGGTCTTTGTCCACTGGTTCACCCCCCAGATGGCTTCCCAGACTCGTTAGCAGAGGGCCGGCTTAGAAACCGAGTAGCCGGGACTAGAACCGGGCACTCCGCTCTGCGATGCAGGAGTTGCAGGCAGCGGCTTTCCCGCCGCCCACGCCCCGGCCCCGCGCCGTGTCTGCCCTGTGTTGGCCTCCCACGGGCGCTGTGTGCGCCCAGCCGGACACGCCCCGCCTTTCTCGCCGTAGCCCATCCTCAGCCCCTCCATCTTGGACCACCTCATCAATAACGACCGCAAGCTGCCTCCGGAGTACAACCTTCCGCACACCTACGTGGAGATGCAGGTGGGGGCCGCGCGGCGCGTCGGGGAGGCTGGCTGCCGGCCGCTGCCCTGGCGCCCCTCGGGTTGTCGGGAGAGGGCCGCAGTGGGAGGCAGGTGTGGCTCCGGCCCATATCCCCCCGGGTGAGACGCCCGGCGCTGCTGGAGGGCCCTGCGGCCGCGGCCCTCAGCACTGCTCTCCCGGCCCTCAGTCCCTGCAGATTGCCGCCTTCCTCTTCACGGTCTGCCACGTGGTGATCGTGGTCCAGGACTGGTTCACAGACCTGAGTCTGTACAGGTGAGGAGCGGGCGGGGGGACAAGGGGCAGCCCGGCCCAGGGCTCTCGGGGTCTCACAGCGGCCCGAGGGACGCTTCTGTGACAGGTGCCGGCGGGGCCCTGCGCTGACTCCACCTGCGGCGTCCCAGGCGCGACCCCTTGCTGGCCTCAGGGCCCTCCTCCTGCAGCTCGGGGCCTCCGCCCTCGCTCCCCAGACCTCAGGGCCGGCTCTGCCTGTTGGGACGCGAGCCCCCGGGAGGCGGGTGCCGGGCCGAGCGTGGCGCGAGCTGCAGCCGTCCCGTCGCTGCCCTGGCAGCCAGAAGAGTAGAGCTGGAAGGAGTTGCCTACGCGTTCTAGAAACGCCCCCGGACGAGACTGGCTCCGTGCCTGGGGCGTGAAGGTCCCTCGTGGCCTCAGGAAACAGCTGTCGGGTGGGAGTGCCCAGGGCCCAGGCAGGAGCGAGGGCGGGGAAGCCGCGGCAGGTAGCCCGGGTATGACTTGCAGCCCTAGGGGCCGGGGCTGCCATTCCTGACGCTGTGTCAGGAGCTGCGAGTGCGGCCGGGAGAAGGGTGAAGCTTTCGCCAGGCCCTGGGCACAGAGAGCAGCCGACAGGCCGAGTCGCTGTTTGCGGAACACCCTGGGTGTGGGCAGAGCTGTGGGCCTGGCCACCCGCAGAAAAGAGGTGTGGGGAGCTGGTTACTGTGGCCCATCTCAGTGATGGCCTGGGACGCCCCTCCTCCTGCCATGGGCCGGGCTGCGTCCACACGGCAGGTAGATTGGACAGCTGTGTGCGCTGGCCCCAGGCTACAGGCTCGAAGCAAACGGACAGACTGGACTCGGCTGTGGCGTTTCCGCTGTAGGGCGTGGGCTTGGGCAGGGACGGGCAGGGGACGGAGCCCTGCAGCTGTGGCCGGTGGGTCTGTGTGAGCAGAGGTCCAGGAGGGTCAGGCCCCACTCCGCTTACGTCAGTAACCTACGTGCTTGGGAAAACCTTGTAGAGACAGCTGCTGTCCACACAGAAAGCTTCCCGCAGGTGCCCGAGGGCGTCAGTCACCTGCCTAAGCTGGCAGCAGCCCAGGTGCCCCCGCTGGGTGACAGCACACAGCTGGGGGCTGCGGGGCGCTGGGGCTCCCTCAGGGCGTCGAGACGCGGGGCAACCCGAAGCGCGTGCTGCTGAGTGAGCGAAGCCACACAGGGGGCTCATCCCGGGGAGGCTGCGGAGACGGCGGACACTCCGCGGGGGGAAGGTGGCAGGGCACGGAGCAAGAGGGCAGCGGCGGTGCCTGCTGTGCGTGGCCATAGTGGGTGCCGCTCCCTAGAGATTCTCCAAGCCCGGGACGGGGCGGCAGGTGCACTGGAGCTCCTGGTGTTGCTGCGACCCCGGAAGCGCTCTGAAGAGGGACGCTGCTCCCGAGAGCAGAGTGGGGGCTGGGTGTGGAGGAGGCGGCGCGGGCGTGGGGCGCCGTCCCGGCTGTGTGAGAAGCACGGGCGCTTGGCCTCCCCGGTGCGGCCGGGCCTGTCCGCGCACCTCAGAGCCGTCACAGCCACCTCCTCCCCGCCCAGGTTCCTGCAGACCGCGGAGATGGTGAAGCCCTCCACGCCGTCCCCCAGCCACGAGTCCAGCAGCTCATCGGGCTCCGAGGAGGGCACCGAGTACTACCCCCACCTGGGTGAGAGGCGGGACGTGGGAGGCGAGGGGGGGTGTCACGAGGAGGCCACATGGGGTAGCCCCCCACCCCGGCTGCCCCTAAACCCAGGCCTGGCTGTGGGAGCTGGGTCCCTGGCACCTCTCAGCAGGGCCGTCAGGAAACCGTTCCGGGCCCTTGCCCGCGGGGCCCCTCCTCCCCTGCGGCTCAGCCAAGGGCTCGGGCTCGTCTCGGACCCCCTCTGCAGGCAGAGCCTCCGACCTGTGGCCTCCCTGAGCCCCTCCTGCCTCCCCTCCCACCCTGGCCCGCGGGCCTCTCCTCATCTGTCTCCCTCTGGGGCCGGGCCTGGTGCAGCAGTGTGACTGTTTCCCAGCGGTCTTTGGGACGAGGGCCGGGACCGGGCTGGGGGGAGGGGCCGTGCTGCGGCCGTGCGCTCTGCCTCACCACCGGGCCGGCCGCAGTCTTCCTGCAGAACAAGGCCCGCCGGGAGGACTTCTGTCCCCGCAGGCTGCGGCAGATGCACCTGGTGATCGACCAGCTCATGGCCCACTCGCACCTGCGCTACAAGGGTGAGTGCCGCGACCCCGCGCCAGGCTCCTCCCTGGCGCGCGCCTCCAGGCTGACGTGTGCGCCCCCACAGGGACCCTGTCCATGCTGCAGTGCAACGTCTTCCCGGGGCTGCCGCCTGACTTCCTGGACTCGGAGGTCAACTTGTTCCTGGTGCCCTTCATGGACAGCGAAGCGGAGAGCGAGACCCCGCCCAGAGCAGGTGTGCCCCCCCCCGCACAGGGGTGTGGTCTGAGCTCAGGCCTGGGGGTGACGCGGGCCCAGCTGGTCTGAGAGAAGACGAAGCCTGGCCCCTCCGTTGGGAGCAGGTTTCAGGAAGCTGGGGCCGGGACTGGGCTCTGCAGGCTCCTTGAAGCCGGGATGCTGTGAGGCTGGGAGGACCCTCCAGGCGTCTGTCCCTCACCCTCCCTCCCCGACACCCCAGGGCCGGGTTCCAGCCCACTCTTCTCCCTGCTGCCCGGGTACCGCGGCCACCCCAGCTTCCAGTCCTTGGTGAGCAAGCTCCGGAGCCAGGTGATGTCCATGGCCCGGCCGCAGCTGTCCCACACGATCCTCACCGAGAAGAACTGGTAAGAGTGTGTGCAGGAGGGGCCGGTGAGGGGTGCACTGGGCGGGGCAGAAGGGACCCCAAGGAACCATGTGGCCTCGTGAAGCTCCTCCCCAGCCCCCGGCGCCGTTCCTGGGGCTCTGGGAGCCGCTCGCGGCAGGTGTTCCCGTGACCTGAGGCCTGGGGCATCAGCCTTGGCACTGAGTTCACTGGGGGGAGATTTAGGCCCAGAGGGAAGCAGTGTCAACGTAGCCAGGGCACACCTGGGGCTGGGTCCACCTGGCTGCCAGGAAGAGGACCAGTGAGCTGGCTTAGGCTTCGGGAGGTGTCAGGCCCGGAGGTGTAGCCTCACAGGAGGCGGGAAACAAGCCGGTGGGAGCCACAGGCGCTCACGCACGTGCCCTGCTGCGCCTGCCGGCCCCGCTCCCCAGGGCTCCGGGTCTGAAGGAAGCAGTGGCCCACGCGGCCTCTCACGTTACCAGCCGTCCGCCTGCAGCTGGCTGTGGCCGCAGGGCCAGGACCATACACAGCAGGCAGCAGGAGCTCCTCGGGCCCGACGGCCGTCCGTCCCAGCTCTGCTCCTCCGCGGGTCTGAGCCAGGGCCTGGTGGGCACCAGAATGGCCACGTCCCGTCCGTGTGGCTGTCCTCCCCGTGTCCCAGTCAAGGAGTGGCTCCCTGCTCAGCGTCCGCGTGCCCGGTCATACGTGAGCCTCAGTTTCCCCACAGGACAGCCCTGAATGTCGACCTTCTCCTGCAGGTTCCACTATGCTGCCCGGATCTGGGACGGGGTGAAAAAGTCCTCGGCCCTGGCAGAGTACAGCCGCCTGCTGGCCTGAGCCCGGGAGGAGTCCATGCGAGGAGCCCCCGGGCCCCAGGCACAGCAGGGAGCACGCGCGTCCCCGGCGAGTGGAGAGCGGCAGCAGGCCTGGCGGACGAGACACGAGGTGTCCAGGGCCGGGCCCCCAGCCTCCACTGGGGGCCGTTGAGGGGTGACTCTGAGAGGCCCCACCCCGCCCTGGGATGGGGCGCCCATCCTAAGTCCCCTGTGGAGACAGGCAGTGGGAGGAGTCTGGTAGGTCGCAGTGGGGGCCCAGGCTCCGTGCGCAGCTCCCTGTGCAGGGACAGGAGCAGCAGGCCCCTCTGGCCTGCCTCGGCCCTCCTGGGAGGCAAGGCAGGCCCACAGAGCTATCACTGGGTTCGAGCTGGTGGCTCCAATAAACACAGTCGTGGGAGCCTGGTCCTGTGTCCCGCTTGCCCTCCCCAGCCCCCTCCCCCCAGCAGGCTGTCCTGGGAGGGGGGCAGATGCAGGAGCTGCCCTTGGGAGGGTGTCCTTGGCCGCCCACGAAGCCTGAGTGGGAGTCCCCAGAGACACAGCCGCAGGGTCATGGAGTCGTCGAGCAGATAGCTCCGCCTGCCGAGGAGGATGCCGGGAAAGAGCTGGCCTCGGGCCTCCACGCGCGCGTTTGCATCAGAACACACTCTGGTGGGCGAAATAGAGAGGCCACGTCAGGACAGTGCCCGCCTGGCTCAAGACCACGCCTGCCTCTGGTTCGGAAAAGAGCCCGTCCTGCGCTCGGCTGCCTCCTCGCCCTCAGGTCGGGGACCAGACCCCGCCCCCAGCTGCCCCTGCTGCCGGCGAAGGTGCTGGCGCCCTTCCCTGTGACCCCCAGCTGCCCCTGCTTGCACACAGCCGTCGCTACCTCTAATTAAGGCCAGGACCGGCCCGGGGTAAACACAGCGTACAGTCTGGTACAGCCCGCCCTGTCTGCGCTGCATCGCAGTTACGTGTCCCCCGGTGCGCGGGGTCACCCAGGTCAGTCCGTGCAGGTGATGTGGCCGTCCACTGCTCTGTGACGCCGCCTGCTGCCGGCTGTCTGCTCTGCCCCCGCCCACTTCTGCTCTTGGCCCCCCCCCCGTAGGGCCCTACTGTCCTCCTCAGGGGGTCCTGGGCCTTTGAGAAAAGGTTCGGCTGGCAGTGAGGGAGCGTTGAAGAGAGCTCTGGGCGCAGAGGAGGGCGGGCCAGAGTGCGTCCAGGCAGAGCGCAGCCGAGGTCTGGGAGGCACAGGACCTGGGGCGGGCCGTGGCGCTGCCACTTGTTCCCTCCCTCTGGCCCCCCGGCTCCTGCAGAAGTGCCTCCAGATGTGCCCGCGGCCCGCCTGCCCCTGCAGCATGGCCATGGCCCTCCCCCCTGCCCAGGGCTGAGTCTGCTGTTGGCCTAGGGGGTTAGGAGGTGGTGTGGTGCCCAGGGTGCCCAGGTGGGTGACAGCAGAGGCGCCTCTGGGGCCCTGGCCTGGCGTTTCTGCGGTGACCTTGGTGCAGAGGCTTGGCAGGGTGTAGAAGCTGCCCTGTCAGCTCAGCCAGCCCTCCAGGGAGAGAGTGAGTGTGTACAGGGTGCCCAGCGCCCCCTGTGCACCTGGCGTGGCACTGAGGCCGCCGGCCGCTGTGCGAGGGGCTGGGTGTGGCTGCCGGCTTTGCCTGCAGCTCTCCATCTCCACCCTTACCCCCCGCGAGCACGGAGAACGTGGCCTCTCCACGCCCCGACTCCAGGAAGCAGGGCGCCCCGTGGTCCATTTCCACACTGCAGCAGCCATGGGGTCCTGGCAGCTGCACCCCCTGCCCCAGCGCCGCTCCGAGCCTGAGGATGGTGGCCCTGGAGTCAGCCGCCCGCGTAGCCCCAGGCCCCCTATGCTTCTGCCGGCTTCTGTCTGCCGGCGGTGCCCAGCGCCTGGGGGTTGTGCTGGTCACCAAGTGGCGCCATCGTGTGGCAAACCCTTGGGATGCCAGCTGTAGCCTCCCACCCGCGGGTGCATTCGGGAACCGGGTTCCCTTCACCCAAGCCGGCAGTGAGTGTTGGACGTGGCAGCTGGAACCTCGTTAGGCTGCGGGGCCTGAGCTGGGAGACAGGCTCACCCAGCCCTGGGGGGGTGCCGGGCAGCAGCGGGGTCCACGCTGCCTGCCGCAGACCCTGGCTCTGCCGTGAGGATGGCTGAGTCGAAGCGCACAGACCGCGCCCACGGAGTCCGCCTGAGGCCCCAGGTGGGGGCGTCGTCCTCACGTACCGGTGCAGGCCGGTGGGAGCGAGGTCCCCAGAGGTGCTGCTGGGGCACCGTGGCACTTCCAGGAGGGGGGCCCTGGGGAGGGGCCCCCAGAAGGCGGATGTGAGGACAGCGCGGGCGCGGACCCAGCCACGCTCTGCCTCCTGGCTCCACGCGGGCCCGCCACCTGCCAAGGAACCTTTGCCAAAGCCTGCGTCCTCCCATCACCTCCTCCTGCCCAAGTAGCTTCGTCTCGGGTGTTTTGGGGGGAGGGGGGTAGCTGATGAGTTCTTTGCTGGGAGCCCCTGGCCCCTACCAGCCTAGAACGGGAGAAGCTCACTCTGCACACTGGGGAGGGGTGGTAGGTAACGCCCAAGGCCCCCTGCTCGTACACTGCACTTGGGGAATGGGACTGGGGTCTTCTGTCCTGGAGTTGATTTTTTAGTATTTAGCATGCATCGGGCCCTGTGAGCAGCAGGATCAGGATGTGATTAAGAGCTGGGACCTAACAGTTAACATTGACTGGTCCAGCCACGGTTCTAACCCCGTGCAGCCCCCGGGTCTCCATTTTACGGAGCAGGAAGGGAGGTAGAAGTCAGCCACTACCAGCCTGTCCAGAGCCAGGCGAGGGGCCAGCTCCTCTGATCCTCGGCCACACAGACCCCCCCGAGCCCTGCCCAGCGGGGCACCCCCCGTGCCCTGCTGCCTCTGGGTGCTGCGGTCCCGCACCTGGAGGGAGAGGCCCAGCAGGTCGCGCGTCTGTGGCTGTGGTGCCCACCCTCGCTGCCTGGCTTCTCAGTGTGCTCGCTCGCTCACGGCGCACACCAGGGCAAGCCCCAGTCCGCCTCTGCCGTGGCGGCGTCAGCCCCGGGGCTCTGAGGTGCGCGGGCACCTGGTCCCCGCTGCCCCCGAGGCTTGCCTGGTGACACAGGCAGCTGTGTCCCTGCCACAGTCTGAGTCCCCCTCTGGAAGGGAGGGGCAGGACAGGGCGGTGAGTTCTGACCCTGAGATGCTCAGGCGGCTCCCCTGGGTTCTGTGTTAGGAGGTCTCGGGGTTTGATTGCTGGCCGGGTGGCAGGCGGAGGCCAGCGCAGGGCGGGCCTGGGCCTCAGGCTGGACAGCTACTCTGAGCAGCCACAGGTTTGAGCCCTGGGAGGGGTCTCCTGGCAGTGGGCGGGCTGATGCCACCCCCACTTTGTGCAGAGGGGCACAGTGAACCCGAGGGGTCCTGGCAGAGCCTGGGGGGACCCCCAGCACAGCAGAACCCTCAGCAAAGGGGCCCAGCTCCTCTCAGCCCTCCAGGTCACGCAGGCCCCTTCTGTTGGGAGCTGTTTTCTAGAGGCAGGGTGGTTGCGGCCCGAGTGGGGGGTGGGAGATCAGCTCCTTGCCCCAGCGTCCCCCTCTGCCACCCACCTGCCGCCTTCATGAGCCTTGGAAATTTTCTCCAACATAGGGACCCCAGCCCCCCCCCCCCCAGGAGACACAGCAAGGTCAGCAGGGCATTCTGCCCTCGTCCCAGACCTGCAGTCCACCAGCAGGGAGCCTCCAAAGGGAGGCCCAGGTCCAGTGACTGCCCCCTGGCTGCCGGAGCTGGAAGGTGAGCGCTCTGCACCCCGTCCCCATCTCTGGCCAGTAGCTCCGACCCCGTCCACCTCACACTGCCAAGTTCAGGCTGCCCCAGAACCCGTACTCGGAGGAAGGTCCCCACTCTTATTTTTTAAATGTTTATTTGAGAGGCAGAGCAACAGACAAAAAGAGATCTTCCATCCGCTGGATTGCTGCCAGACTGGAACTCCATCCGGCTCTCCCGTGAGCCCAAGCACTGGAACCCTCACCCGCTGCCTCCCCAGGTGCTTGAGCAGGGAGCTGGATCCACAGCAGGGCAGTCGGGACTGGAACGGGCGCTCCGATGGGGCATGCGGGTGTCCCAGGCGGTGGTTCAACTCGCTGTGCCACCACGCCTGGCCTTCTCCACTCTCTCTCGGCCGTCTGCCCGGCCCGTCAGGGAATCGGCTTCCTTCCTGTGGCCTCCAAGCGTCAGGGAAGCTCCAGTCTCCGGGCCCCCAGATCTGGGTCTCGTGGCAGCTTCTGCATCCACCACCCAGGCGGTGCCCTGGCTCCCGGCACCCCCAGCCCCATTCTGCACCCTGTGCCCAATCCTATGGCGCAGACTGCGCTCCAACCTGCACCCACTTCCCTGCACCAAGATGCAGCCCGCCCGCCCCGATCCAAGTCCACTCGAGCCCTCGGACGGCCCCTGTGCCCCCACCCCAGCCTGGGGGTCCTTTAATCTTCAAACCACTGGTGACCCTTGACTCCACAGGTGGGAGTTTGCTTTGGGACAGGCATGAGGGCATCAGAATGGCTTTGGCCACCTCCTGCCTCCAGAGCCAAGCACATGTTCTGTGTTCTGCCCTGGACAGAACCCTCGCCCTTCGGGGTGCCCACATGCAGCCTGTCACCCACAGCCACCAGCGACACTCGGCGACCCTGACACACGGTTGCCCTCCCTCAGACACTCCACCCCCGGCTGTGTGTCCCACATAGTCCTAGCACTCACACAGGTGCACCTGACTGGCCACACACAGACTCAGCCAACAGCTCTCGGGCTTAGGCACCGGCATCGCAATCGTGGGCACCCCAGAAATCTCTCCGCTGCACACGTCCCTACTCAGCAGACACCCCCGGCTTCTGCCCCGAGACTCGCTCTAGGCCAGGGAGTGGAACCCCCAGCCCCTCCCCTCCCGACACTGTGAACCCCCTCCGTTTGCCCTCTCCCCACGCCACTCCCACTCTGCTTCCCCACCCTCCCCAGAGCCGGCCGATCCCCCCACTCCCTGCCGCCCCTCCCAGGCAGTGGGGCTGGCCTGGGTGGCCTGCTCTCCCCCACCTAACTCATTGCCGGGGTGCCACTGTGCCAATCGCAGGTGCCGGCTAACTGCCTCTCCAGAG